ATTTTATATTTCGATTGTTAACAATTACTTTCAAGTATCAATAACTTTCGTTCAAGTCCTTGACGATAACTTAGTGTAACTCTTCCGGAACTCGGGGACTAGGTCACTAGCATGGTGCTTTTTGGTTCCTGGAAGATTTGTTTAAGGACTGGTTTTCGAAGGACTGAAAAAAGTAGATCACATGAAGAGCCCAGTCGCGTTATTTTCTGTGCTCCCTATATCCAGCAATTTCAGCGGGCCATGCCTGCGACTCTCAGGCAGTTTTATGAGTTTGTCTCCGGCTTTGGCTGTATAGGCGGGTCTTGATCCCTGAAGGTGGCTCGATCGTCGTTCCCGTTAAGGATGTCAGACTTGTGTCCATTCCCCAGACTGGCCTGAATCCTTCTAATCCGGGCTGAGAAAAAATGGTCTTAAGAGAGAAACGCCACTCGCTTCGGGTCATTCTTCTACTTGTTTCATTGAAAACTATTCTGCACTTCTTTTAAAACGCCTGCTGTGCCGGGCAGCCTGTTAATATTTTGCGGTTAATATTAATACAGAGATAGCCAATAAAATTGGAATAATCAGCTCGAGACTGCGGATCTCAACGAAACTTCCCTGCAGGCTCCGTCTGCAGATGAACCAATCATAATTGTGGGAGGAGGCCTCGCTGGCCTATCAGCAGCTCTTGAGGCACTCAGTCGTGATGCAAAAGTGATAATCATCGACAGTGAGAAGAATCTCGGAGGAAATTCAGCGAAAGCAAGCAGTGGTAAGCTTTTGAGATTCTGAGCTCCTGTTTTAACACCGTTATTGCATCAAATAAAATTTTCAATAGGTGTGAGCGCTGCTGAAACATCAACACAGAAGCAAATGGGTATTAATGATTCGCGAGCTTCCTTCTATAAGGACACTATGAGTGCTGGTGACCGTGAAAATGACGAGGGATTAGTAGATCTACTGGTACGTTCCTTTGCGTCCTTCCCGTTTTTTTTTTGAACTTACACACAGGGGTCGGCCTACCGTGGGGGAAAGTGTGGGAGAGAAGAGTACGTGTGGAAGTGAGGAATGGGAGTTGAACAGGAGTTATATGAATGATCTAGTGATGGGGTACATAATGGTGTCATTCTATTCAGTTAGTAGTCGTTCTACTCCCTGTGTTCGTTCAGCTTAAATCGACAAATTACCCTGCACAGAGTCTATCTCTGAGAAGAATTCTTCTGGCTTTTTCGAAAGTAATTCCTGATGTTCAGGTGGAGCAATCGGCGGATGCTATCGAATTTCTCAAGGAGCTTGGCGTTAATCTCAATGATATAAATCTTTGTGGAGGTCATTCCACGCCGAGAACACATTGGTACACTCAATTTTATCTGTCTTAGTGGACTTTTCTCTGCAGTTACATTTCTATAGTTCATTCTGTCGTGAATGACGATCTTTCTGTTTTATAGCCTTAACACGGCCAAATCCTCGCTTATTTTTGTTTAATTTGTCGTGGATTCCTCCGGGTCTAGCCGTCCAGAACAGAGCGGTGAATAGCGTTTGTTTGGATGTCTCCGCGAATCTACTTTCAAATATCCAAAGTCGAGCGTATTTTGTTGCGATTGTGGCCCATCCCATGGTTTCGATGCTCGCGGCGGTGGCAGATAATCATAGTTTTGTGTTTTCCCGTCTAGGTTCCTGGGCAAATTAAGCGACTCGAAAGGATTGAAAAGTATGCTGTTGAAACAGTCAGGATTTTGATCTTATTTTGTTTCCAGAGTTCAAGTCTGGTATAGATTAAAGGTATCTTCCCACGGAAAAAGCTCCGCCATCATTACCACAGAAAACGATACCTTAAAGGAATCTTCCACGGAAAGAGTGATCATTTTGTCTTGTGTGTAGGATTAGTATTATCGAAACTAACGCTTATGTTCCGTTCTTTTTGCTATGCTCATGAGGCTAGGGGCCTAAGGTATCGTTTTTCTGTGGTAATGGAGGCGGAGCTTTCCGTGGAAGATTCCTTCAAGCGACCCCGGAGAGGTGATAGGTCCTCCTACCGTGCGCGTGGTAATCGGCACCACTTGTCATTATATTAAATTCTACTCTTAATAAGCGCTATACATCCGCTTCTTATGTTCAATGAATTTGTAGTGGATTAGAAGTCGTGGCGGAAATGTTTGGTAATGCATGATTATTCCTATACTGCTGCGATACTTCAGGATTCCATCACCAAAAGAGGGTCGCGCCACTCCAGTAGGATTGGGCATCATAAATGCTGCTAAACAACGCGTTGCGGACATCGCAAAAGACAGACCGGATGACGTCACGATTCTTACAAACACTCGTGTGGTAGGACTGACGTCATGGAATGCTTATGTGAATGGAGTGAATGTGGTGCAGGACGGAAAAAGAAGTGAGTGTCCTTCATATTGTATTTTATATATGTTTTTTTTATATTTTATACTTCTTTTTTTGCTCCGTTTAGGCTCCGGGACCGCACAATACTGAGAGTTCTTTTTTATTTACATTTATGTCATTGCATTTGAAAAATATCAATAAATTCGAAGAAAATATTGTTCTTTAAAGAGGAAATTAATGGAAAGGCTGTGATTCTTACAACTGGCGGATATAGCGCCGATAGGAACGAGGACGCTAGTCTGTTGCATGAATTCGCCAGCGATAAGGTTTGTTTTGTATTCTGACTTCTGATCAGACTCATTGAAATTTTTGATTAAGCGTTTTACAGCAATGTGTCAGTTTTAGCTGCGTTTTCCAACCACTAATGGAGCTTTCGCTCGTGGTGATGGAGTGAAAATGGCACGTGCGATGGGCGCTCAGGTATCAAAGTTTCTAATGGGTGGTTCTCAAGTATTTATTTGCGAGTGTTATTTGGCTATTTTCATTTGCTTTTTTCGGTGGTGGGTATGGATCGTGTTCAAATACATCCAACAGCGTTCGTGGATCCGGCTGATCCCTCAGCTGGTACAAAGTTCCTTGCAGCTGAAGCACTCCGTGGCAAAGGTGCTATCCTTGTGAGTTACCACTGTGTTATTTAGTAAGCTCAAATTGCCCTTGAATGGAAAAAGTCGTATAATTGGCACAAATTTTGCATGTTCTCAGCTTGTGTCATTTTGTACATATATTTTGGGCATTTGGACCTGATAAATCTACGTCAACTACACAAGTGGCATATAAAATGTCGGAACTCTACTTAAAAGAATGCGTATTGATGAAATTCTAGATCAACTCAGAAGGTGTTCGCTTTGCCAACGAGCTCGGCAGACGAGACTACTTGACTGAAAGGATTCAAAAGGAGTGCAAGCCTATCGAAAAGTTCCAAGTAGAGTCTTTTTTCGAATATTCGATGCTCTGTTCATTTTCGAAGCCGAGGTAATTTAGGGAGGGTCTGCTGGGCTGTCAGCAGCAATAATGTTGATGAACGACGACGCGGCTGACTCATTTGGAAGGCCGGCATTTAATTTCTATGCGGTCGTCAAGAAATTCTTCATGGTGAGGGGTTTTTCGAATTTCCTATCTCGATTGGCAATGCTTTCTTGCTTTGAAGCTAAGAATATTGAAGCACGCCTCAAATTCAAGTCTGAAAAGAGATTTTAAGCAGTTTATGATTTTGCATGTCGAGGCTTTTTGACTCAGTCATGAACTATGTAAATAATATTCTTGTGGTGAACTTTTGAAGTGAATCGTTGCTATACCACAAGTGTTGCCTCGGACAAGTGGAATGGATTCCAATAAAATAGTAGACTATGCTGATACGGTCAGTGGGTTTAAAGGAGGATTTTACGATTAGAATGGAGGTCGAGGAAGAAGTAATTCACCTAGTTGAGTAACCCACGGACCTCCTGAGGGTGCGAACTGATGCGCAATTCGCATCGAAAAATTTGACCTCGGCGACCTATTATGCCTCAAAGTTGGCGGGTCTGGCGATCTCCGCCCACCGACCAGCTGATCACTCGCCGCAGATCTATACGTGGTGAGTGATTAGATAGGTGAGAGAGCGTAGCGTTGAAGAGGGCACAGCGATGATAGTAGCATCAATGCTCAAATCAACGGGCGAATGAAGGGGTCCCATTTCTCGGGTTCTGGGCCGTTTCTCATGGTTCTTCCTTCTTTCGTGTACCAATCACCATCCCTGAGTTAATTTGAAATGGGTTGCCTTCCCAGCGTGAATTCGTCCTTTAAAGAGCGTTACGATAAAGTGGGAGCGCATCGCAGGAAGCATATGCACCACACGAATCAGTTACTTGGCTGCCAGGGAAGCGAGGTGTAGCGCTTTCACGACGCAAGGTTCGCTGGTTGCTGAGCAGGACTTCGAAAGCACTCCGCCCCAAAAGCGATCCGCCCACTGGTTTAGTTGGTGATTTGGACGAGCTGCGTTGCCAGCAGCGGCACAACTAAAGCAACTCGACTGTAGCATGGATTGGCATGCTGTCACAAAACGCGTTGCGCTGAACTCGTTCATACGTCCGCTTTCTGAGCTGTTACCTGTTCATGAGTGGAAACTAACGGCCAAAAAAGGGGGTCCCGTTTTGCGTTTTCTTAACGGGATTTCTCCACTTTTTCGTTACTGGGTACCACATCAGCACTACCAGTCTCCTATAAACCTTTCTTGGATCTATCGTAATCACTGCCTTTAAGAGCTGCCATGGCATGCCTCCGAGACAGAAAAGATTTTCTCCAGAAAACATCATTACCTGGTGTTCCTTGTGTGTAGGGTTAAAGTCATGTTCCCATCTAGATGTGGTTTGAGGTGGGAAACAGGCAGTTTGAGGGACTGTGGGCGCAGAGGAGAGAGAACAGACACAGAGACGAGAGAGCGTAGCGTATGTGCGAGACGCAGGCTGCGATTTTCCGCACTGATAGGAGAGTGTAGATGCTAGGCTCTTCAGCCCTCGAACACCCATTTCTTTTATTCTAAATATTAGTCTCCTTCTTTCCAGAAGTACGATTCAGCAAAAGAGCTAGCCGCTGCAATGGATATTTCGCCCAACGTTCTGGAGAAAACATTAATGGATTACAATAAATATGCAAAATCCAGCTCAAGTGACACAAAGGAAAAGGTGGGCTTATGTTTCGACGGGGTTTGTTACACCGTACTTATTAGAGTCAGCAGTTTCGGAGCATTTGGTGTACACCCTAAAGGTGTTTATTTTCCCTATCTTTTTTGAAGGATTCATTCGGAAAGACTGTGTTCCCTGTTGCAATCGAACCTGATCAGCCCATCTACGCTGCTATTATCACTCCGGCTATCCACTACACCATGGGAGGATTGAAAATCGATAAACAGGTGAGAGAATATGATCAGTTGCATGCAAACCCTCAATGGTCTCGAAATTTATTTTCAGGCTCGTGTATATAACGAGTTCATGAATCAACCATTCAAAGGTCTTCTGGCTGCTGGTGAAGTGACGGGTGTGTTTCGTTTCTATTATTTCACCCAATCATGTAGCTATTTTGATGTCCTATGCAGTCGTCAGTGTATTTTAGAATTGATGAACCGCGAGAGCCGTGCCGGAAATATGGCATTGCTCACCTCCCCCCCCCCCAATGTCCAACGTCGAAGACTCGTCAATAAAGGGTCATATTTGGCTTCCTGGGAAAGGGGCAGTCCTACGTCGAGCTGGGTTTACTTTCCGAACTTTTCCGAATATTGGTTTAGCCAGGATGTTTGGATTTTTTTGGAGATTTTCAGGAGCTTGTAACAAGCTCAACGGACACTTTTCAGGTGATATCGGTGATAGCATAGGTAGGATGGATGGGAGTAGTAGTTTTGGAGGGATCCGAAGAGGGAGGTAGGTCGTGGAGATCGTGAAAGGTCGTGCTAGTCCTTGAGTGAGGCGGTAAAGGAGACTGAAGCTCTGGTAGCATTGCCCTTATGGTGAGGGGGGGGGCTATTAGAAAATTTTGCTCGACACATGGCTTGCGCTGCTTCCCCAAATGTTCAGTTCCAGACGAAAATGTTAAGATGTTTATAGGTAACTTAGTTTATTTATTCTATTTTCAGGAGGCGTTCACGGTGCCAACCGCCTGGCAGGAAATTCCTTACTAGAATGTGTTGTTTTCGGGAGAATAGCTGGTGGAAGTGCTGCGTCTATTAATTACGGCCATGAAGAACTTTGAGTTTCCAGCACTTACAATTTCAAAATGTGATCTGTCACGAGTTTTTGCGTAGCCGGTTGTTTCATAATCAGGCCATTATAATTGTTTGGGCAGCATAGTATTTTATTGTTCACTTTTTGACATGTTTGGCTTTGTGTGTTGTGAATACTGACGATAAAGTAATTCGTGCTATATTCTGATGTTCAATGGATAATGCGTTAGCAGAGCAGCGCTTGTGCGTTTATTTGTGCATTTCGAACTATCAGCGTTAGGTATACTTTGTTTCCCGCGAACGAGCGTGCCGTAATCGCGGACCAAGCAGTGCATGTGTCGACGTGAATCGATGTCGCGTGTGCGTTTTGATGCTTTTAATGCCGTTGCGAATACACATGGCGGTGCTAATTTATTTGGGCTTCGTATGTTTTATGCTATTGCGAATACACCATGGGGTGCTAACTTAGTTGGGGGGGGGGGCACGCGGCGGCGCGGCGCTCTGTTCGTCTGCTCCTCTAAGGCTTAGTCCAAGGGGCAGTTACTATTTCGTCGCCACGTGGCAGTTTTTCGAAATACGCGCATCTTGGGACGCGCGGCGTGCGTCGGTCCCCCCCCCCCAACTAGTAGCACCTACATGGCTTTGATTAGACGTTGCGATTATGACAGTGGTGGCAGCGAAAAACAAAGTGTACCGTCAACGTGGAATACAAAAACAAAGATGTTGCAGTAATTTGAATGGATCGTGGCCAGTTTGTCGATATTGGTGATTTCGATGTCGATGCCGTTGCTTTAGATTGTGCACCGCAGTCCGCTGAACATTATCTCCAGCAGGTGTGTAGCTAGTGGGCGGTTTACTTTTTCATTGAACATTGCGTTCGATGAATAGTCAGGCCGCAGAGTGGTTTGGCCGTTTTTATCCAAAAATTTTTTGCTTTTTGCGATTAAGAGGGGGCTTGAAGACATCGAGGAGCAGTCAAAATAAAACTGGCGCAAGCGGTGTTTGTTTTCGGTTATTGCCATGTATGTGCAACAGGGCCTGCAATCAGTGTCAACCGTGCGCTGCACGTTCTCAACGAGGGGCCGATTTGAGCTTCTTCGGAGGGGAGAGGGTCGTGTTAGAGGTTGGTGAAGGGCCAAAATTTTGAAAAGGGGGTCCTATTTCTTGGAATGTTTGTGGGGGTAAGGTGGCAGGAGAGGGGGGGGGGGGGTCGTTTGGCTGATTTCTAATGATGTTGGTCAAAGAAAGGAAGTATAAAGTGTGGTGCAACTAAGTGGTTTTGGTTGTCCGTTAGAGCATATCTTTCCTTCCTCTCTCCCCCCCCCCTCTTCGACGGTCGTTTCTGAACAAAAAATTGCGGAGCTGACCTGCGTCGACTTGTCACGGAAATCAAATACTATAAAAACGGTCATGCGGTGAGGGCGTCGCTTCGGGATTTAGAAGGGGGGTCGTGGTGTTGGGGCACTTTCCTAAGGCTGATGGTGATGGTGAGGGCCTAAAACAACGGAAGGTTGACCTTGCCTTGCAACTGCAACAGGCTCGGGAGCAAAAAAAAAGCACACATCCTTTTTGTTGATGCCTAAATTGGACAGTGACTTGAGGCTGACTAGTAGAGCTGTTATAAGCAGTGGTTTCTTTTCTGTATTGAGTGCTCTTCGATTAGTGGTCAAGCCATATGTGCATATCTGGATAGTTAAGCTTTAATTGCTCTTGTTGTCTTCGAAGCGCTTCCCTATGGTCTTTTGTTCTGAGTGCATAGTGCATGTGATATCACCTGCATTGCGTTTAATCTCCTTGAGCTTCGATCCGCTAGTCTTTCCTCACTGAGACGACCTCCACAGCGTGTTCTCGGTCTTAATGTATTGATACACATTGTGATATTTTAGATTTGGTTAGACCATCATTATATAGTCTTCCGGGCTCATGGTGCTGCTTTTTCAGGTGATTGCTGATCGTATCCGTGGGCCGTCATGCGTTTCTATGGCCCGGCCGGAAGTTTCTACGTCGGCTTCTGAAGCGGAATCCAATTCGACAGTTCCTCGTGCTGTTGAACGCGATCCCCGTGCTCCGAAACAGGAATGGCGTAAAGCAAAAGTGGCTGAATTCTCGATGATGCGCTCCCGTATGGAATCGGCTCCACGAAAAGCTGCATTGCGTATTAAGTGGCCTAATTCGGTTAGTTTTCTTTCCAATGATGAGAAATGTACCTAAAGCCACAAAAGTTCATAAAGGTGCTTACTGAGAAGGGCAAACTCTTTTGCGTGTTCCGATTTGACCCTCTCAGCCAATGGCTGAACGGATCTCAAACTACTCGTAAAGAGCTAGGTTAAACACAATTAAAGGCACACTTCACGATCAACTTAATGTAGTAATTTCACAAATATGAAAGTAGGGTTGCGATGTGGACGTGCACTTAACAAAAAATGTAAGGAAACCGTTCAAAACACAAAAAATGCAGTTCTCTTTTCTTACACTGTGGGAGGGACTTCAATCCTTTTTCCTTTTCTTAAAATCTGCACCTGTTAGTTTTGTGGACAAATGTTCTCAATTTACTTGTCACTTTTGTTAGCTTTATTGCCAGGGTGTGCCAAGGCGTCGAAGGATTTTCAAGCCTATCGACGTCCTCAAACCTCCCTCCTCTCCTCGAATTTCTCGAGTTAAGATGTGCTGCGGTCGCCATTGTCTTTATGATATTTATTGTGTGGCGTGGGCGTGTCGGGATTTTTTCCCCAAAGCGTGGCTCACATTTCCGATGGCGCTCTTATTGTTAGTTCATGTGCGGTAACGAGATATTGTTTTTTTTTTGTGTTAGCATAGCTAAATGCTGAGAATAACGAAAACAATATTAAAATGCAATACGAATTGTCATATCGCGGCATTCTTTTTATCTTTGATCGCAAGGTTATTTCATTCCTACTTTAGGCGAGTGAGGAACAGTGGGAAGAACTCTTGCTACGAAGATGCCATCCAAATTGCGTCCATTTCTCAACGGCATTTCCGCATCATCAAGGAACTCCACCTGCAGTTCCCGTTGTTCTAAGCATTTCATCATCAACGGTGAGGGAAGAGACATGAGCATTCAAAGGCATGTCCCAGGGTCAAACTGGTGTGGTTCTTGCACACAAATATGATAGTGCTAATGCTAAAAAACCCGGCAGCAAAGAAAAAAGAAAAGTAATTTGTCGAAAACGCTTAAGCTATGAGCTTGTTCACCTTTGTGGTGCTGCT